TTTTGGACGACATGGAGACACTTTTAAAAAGTTGTAAACAACTGTGTTTTCTACTTCCTCATAAAGCAAGGTGTTTTCAGCTTGCCTTTTGTGCTAGACATGCCCCTCCGAAGCTGGCCAGAATGGAGGAAAAGCTGCACAGATTATAAATACTGCAAACACTGTGATGAGTGGCTTGTCGCAGATTGTACGTGTGTCGAGCATAATGAGCCCTATGGACTGGCTTTTCATGTAAAAATGCAACTACTTAAGTGCAACACCTATATACATGTAAAAATAGTTTTTTGTCACCATTTTGTGTTGACAATGCTACGAGAGGAGAGAACACGAGTTGGATGGCTGTCAGCTTAAAGGGATCCCACTAAAGTGGGTTGGGAATGGAAGGGGGAACTATTTACTCCACTATTTACTCCACATTTACTCCACTATTTACTTCATGTTAACTCCACATTGGGGAGGAAGTGGGGGGAGAAAAAAAAGCATATTTCACACTTTATCCTTGACACAAGAAAATTTATATAAACACGAGACAAAAATCTCAGCAGAGGAGGAGAAGGCCAAATCCAAAATAACACATTCTACATTGTTTTGAGAGCAGGCTGCACAGGAATTTTCTGTCAGCCCTGAGTCTTTTCTTGCTGGCTCCACATGGCAAATCCAATATTCCAAATTTGTTGGGCTTTTCTGCCTTGAAGTGAGCGCGTACATCCAAGATATTATCCCATCTCAAGCGCGTGAACCGCTGCCAGCAGCCTGACCAATGCCAAAATTAGGGCAGACATCCTCTGTAATTGTAGATACATCAGGTATCCTCCGAATCCAAACAGGAGAAATCTCAGTGTCCTATTTCTGAAAATGCATACATCTTCGATATCCTCCACTGACAACATTGTAAAACACATCATCCTCCAAGCCTTCAATGAGTCCATTGTGTATGCCACAAAGTATGTCCCGGCAGGACTGGAAGGATCCCCTTTTCACTGTCTTCCAGTTGAAAAAAAAAATATATCAGTTGCATTGAGAGACCAGCTGGCAAGATCCAAGGGCTCAGAAAAGACAAGAGACAGCAAAGCAGGGACAGATCAGTGAGTTGCAGGGCAGCAGGAAATTTCAAACATCTCCTTTCATATCAATCATTGTGTTCTCTGCCAATAAACAGAATATAAAATGTCATCATTATCTTTCATTTGATATAAAGTCAAATACTTTAAAATCAACACATTCTGCAAATAAAGTTATTTGCTCACTCAGAGAAATTACTCAGTTTAAAAGCGAGTAGACAGCACAGCAAACTTAAGGTAAAAGAAGCAGTAGTTAACAGCTACCATTGGGCATACTGTGGTTTTAAAGCCACCTTGAGATTGAACTTAATGGAGAAACCATTATCTGAGTCTTATCTTCTCTCTTCCTTTTTTCTTTCTTCTGTTTCTGCAGAGGCCAGATTTATCTCTGCTCACTCCATCGCTGACACATACAATCCTGATGATGACAAGATATATTTTTTCTTTCGTGAAGCGTCATGGGAGGGCAACGACAAGAGCATCCTCTCCCGTGTGGCTCGTGTGTGCAAGGTGAGCTATTACTCAAGGAAAGTGAGGACAGTGGGAAGTTCTTTGAAGAAGCGGTACAGTGCCTTTCATAAGAATTTATAGCTTGTGAATTTTTTTATTATTGTGCTCTTTTAAACCTTAGATTTCAATGTACGTCATTGACTTGTAATTGTTAATTGAGATAAAATCATGAATGACTTTCAAATATTTTAAAATGAATACAAATACCATACTTTTCAGATTTGTATATTTTTTTGTTTCTTTTTTTTTTTTTCGTTTTCTGTCCAGTAGTATAGTCTTCAGAACTGTTGTCTGGCAGCCAAGGAGAAGCTATATAGATTTGCTTTCAAAATCAAGTGCAGCTTTACAGCTTTCACTTTGTTGCTCTGCTTTATAAAGATATTAAAAATTGAATTAGAATTTGCCTAAGGGTTTATTCAAATTCAGGGGACACAGAGATCTAAATACATGAGAAAAGGCAAGAAAGTAAGGGAGAAAGATGGGGTAAAAGGTTAACAAAAGAGAAACAATAGAGGAGAGAATGAAGGCTACAGAGAATACAGAATAACACACAAGAAGTCTGTTTCTACACCAGCAGAGAGAGAGAAACAAAAAGCAAAAAACAGCAATGTATCAGTAACTACATACAAGACATATTTAGTGGCAACTTAAGCTTTTTTAGAGTATATCTTTAGGCTTTGTGTGTAAGTGTGCACTTGAATCCCATCACATGTGGGTATATGTGTAAGTGTTCTTTTGTTTATTAGGTTTCTCCAAAAGAGTGTTTAATTCAGGGCCGCAGATGTGAACCTGATGAACCGGTGACGAGGCAATGGTACTTGTCACCTACAGGGAGTGCGATGGGGTAGAAGATAGGCCCCACGTTTGGTGGGGTACAAAGGATGATCTAGTTGAAGGACAGCCCAAAACCCAGCCTAATAGATAAACAACCACACAGTAACAATCACGTTCCCACCATCACATGCACATAAATAGACAGTCACTGCACACACACCCAATGTAACACTTCCCATACAAACTCTATATGCCCATGCCTCAGATTGGTTTTTGCAAAAAATAAAATACAATGGATTTTCCAGCTGTAACTTGACAGCATTTAAAATGCTTTAGCAAGACAAATGTGTGTCGTACTAACTAGGGGTATAATATGTCATTCTGTTATTTAGTGACAATCAGGTTGTAAGATTAAATGTATTTTAAAACAGACAGTAAGAGGAGTAAATGTCCTCTATGTTGCATGAAGGAGCCATATTCACTCAATATCACAAACAGATAGAGATCTTTGAGCTTGTTTTAAAGGAAGTGTTTTATGTATCCTGGAGAAAAAAAAGGCATTATAAATACATTTGTCTTTATCTGCTTTGCTTAAAGCTAGCACATGGCAGAATGCCGCTTATAATGTTATTGCTGTCAACTTTATATCATATCTAAACATATTCATTACATGGCTTCTATAGGAAAAGCTTAATATAGTCTCCTATGATATTATGATAAACACTTGTTTCTTGCCACTTAGCTCCTTAAAAAAACTACAAACTTTTTTTTATGCTCATGCATGCCAGAGATTGTAGCTTAAGAGAAAACATTTTACAACCAATGCAATTAATGGTTCAGGCTTATAACTAAGAAAGGGGAAGATCAAAATAATGTTATGCAAGGACAGTTTTAACATGTTTCCTTTTTAATTAAAGGTTAACTGTCAAAAGAAATTAAACATATCCTCACACTTTAGTAAAAGTGCTTAGATTTTAATTTGCCACAGCAATTGTAATTAACTGACATAGCAGTTTGCAATCAGCAAGTAAAGATCTATTGCTTAGACTTTAGAGGAAAACCTTTTAGCATGCTAATCTCTTGGCCAAAATCTATAAGGTAGGCTTGAAGGAGAGTCATTTGAATTACAACCCTGTTTTTCTTCCTCTACCATGTTTTGCCCTGATTGACTTCTTTTTTTTAACTATACCTTCCCTGTTGGTGGATGACTCTCCTTCCTTGTAAAAGGATATGGCTGAGGGCTTTTAAGATTACTTCTTTCTGATGAGTCTCTATGTGGAACATCTTCATTACGTGTTTGCATTTTTGGACTGAGGCCCTCAAACTTTGTCTGGTTTTTAAATGTACGAAACTCTTAGCATTTTTTGTACCTTGTCAACTTACCTCTCAGTGCTTTACCATGAGCTACTTATGAGTGCTTTTTAAAGTAGCAAAGGTTGCAATTTAAAGAGTCATTTATATACTAAGAGGAAACATGAATTGTTTTCAGAAATACCTCTTAATTTTAGAACCATCCTTAAAGAACAACATTTTGTGTCTCTTACCCAAAATTTGTTCTTTATTGCTTCTATAAAAAAAACAGGTATGGTTTCTGCTAACTATGTAGTGGTTCTAGTAAGGCCCAAAATCTAATAAATCAATGTTATTGAAAAAATGCAAAACTGCTAAAAAAAAAGTGTATGTGAAAAACACAGATAAAAACACAAAACGTCAGGCAAAGGTACTTAAAATAAGTGAATCATTTGTACATGCAGCAAGATATTTCACCAGACAATATTTCTTGAATTATGAATATAGTAGTTGTATTATATGACATAGACAGACTTTATTGTCATTTTGTTCACACAGTGTATACAAAAAGAAATTTCGTTCAGTACAGCTCTCAAAACATTTCCATTTTTAAAGTGCAGCAGTGATAACATATAAGCAGCAGTTATAAAATTTAAACATAAAACAATGTATATGATCTACAGATTCCAACTATTCTGTGTTTTTTTTTTCTTTAAACCCCCTTTATACAACATTCAGCAGTCTAGAATTTGAATTGGCTTTTTAAATTAATAAATCATCTCTTAAAACAGCATAAACTAACATTTCTAAATCTAAGGTCTTTTATCCAATCATTATCAAATAATTTGATCATATGTTTTTACAGCAGGTGTGTTCAGTCCATTCAAATTAATGGCTGCCTTCTAGGCCTCTGTAAGGCTGCATGACATCCTGACAAAGGATATCCCTTTAATTCAGGGGTGTTGGTGAAGGGATGCATTTCATGTATTCTCCATCATCCACTGCAACTTGTTGCCATGCGGCAGTCATCACTCAACACATTCAGGATCCATCTGCCATACCTTGAAATGACCAGATCTGCTTTACTCCACCCATTTCTGACTTCCCATCCGGCTCATCTGCTTGTTAGAAATTGTATCATGTCGCTTCGTCATCAAGTGTAAATATACTTTTTCGGTAAATCTGATGCCCAATTTAAAGGAGCTGTCTGTCATGCTGCAATGGAACAGAGTAGGAAGGAATTATGTCACTAAGAAGGTTTCTATATATGATGGAATGAAGGATGCACAGACAAAGAAGTCTGTGTGAATGAGAGGGAAGGATTGTAGCACTCAAGTTCTGGACTTAGAGAAAAAATATTTGTGTTTAAAATAGTCTCAAACTGCAAAATAGTTAATAAAGCATAGGATTGATTGATAATGATAACTGTTTACGATATATTTTTACAATTGTCCATTTTCTATCCACTATATGATTCATCATCTTTGTATTAATAATCTCATGGTTCTTGCTTCACTTTGTGCCATGAAACAAACCTTGCCTAGTGATTTCGAGACAAATATTGATTAACCTTCAGTGCTTGTCAGTTTCAGATCATCACTGACCACCCATGTTTAATAGATGTAATAGTACTATAGTCAAAAGGTGGAGCTAATTCTTTGTTTGTTCTGTGATCGATATGCTGTACAGGTAAACACATCAGAAGTTAGAGTCTATCTGATGATCATAACAAATGATGTTCTGCTATACAATTAATTATATATTTGTGACCTTACAAAAATGTTTTTATTTTCTGCAATAATTTTCTGTTTTGATTATTTAGCATATAACTGTTACCATAATGACATTTAATTGAATATAAATACCAAGTATATGTTTTTCAAATTTAGACAATAATATGAAATTATGCATCTACTTATTTACTCAGAATGATGTCGGTGGGCTGAGGAGTCTAACCAGTAAGTGGACCACCTTCCTCAAAGCCAGGCTTGTGTGTTCTATTCCAGGACCAGATGGTGTGGACACACATTTTGATGAGCTCCGTAAGTGACTATGTGATTTAAAAGTGATCATGACAATAGAACAGCATTTATCTTCTAAAAGAGTCCATCTGTGAGGAGTTAAGTGAAGTAATAACTGGATAATCATAGGTGCTGTGGTTAAAGTGTTAATATAATAGTCTGGTGATGAGGACTGTACAGCATCTTTCAAAATAACCGTTGTGTTTCTTTACTTTATTGAAGAGGACATCTTTCTGCTCCATACCAGAGATGACAAAAACCCCATAGTGTATGCAGTCTTTTCGACTTCCAGGTGAGACAGCTTTCTTTGATCTTTTTTTTTTACTGCAATTTTTAAAAAACATCATCTTTCACCCTTTGCTTACATCGCTCTGTGTTTTATGTTTTCTTTAAGTTCCATTTTCCGGGGCTCAGCTGTATGTGTATACAGCATGGCAGACATAAGGGCGGTGTTCAATGGACCATACTCCCACAAAGAAGGGCCAGACCACAGATGGGTGGAATACGAGGGGAGAATACCATATCCCCGTCCTGGAATGGTATGCTGTCCAACACATGGATGAATATATAGAGAAAAATTAGGTCCTTTTAAGCTCCAGATTTTATTTGGACCTGTTTGTAAAAAAGAATCCCCAGCTTTCTTTTAAATCACAAAATAATAAACATGATCTAATCTACACATTCAGGATTAATACAGAAGACCCTGCAGGGTATGCAGCAGCATCTGCTCACCCAGCCTCATTATAAGTGACCCAGCCTTGGCTTTCATGAGGTGACATGACATGTTAATCAGGAACTCGCTTAATTTGTTTAAGAATTCTAATCAAGGCAATGAACAGGATGCATGGGGGATTCTGTGCTTTATAAAACTCAGATGCAATACTGAGTGAGGGCTCAGTCTGAAATAATGCACATAATGAAGCAAGGGAGGGGGCTGGGGATGGAGAGGCACAGATGTTTCACATTTATGCTCTGTCATGCAGTTAGAATTTTTACCACTAGATGGAGACCCACATAAAGAAATACTGAGAGAGTTAGGATAAGATTTATGTTGTTAAACTCACAGTGGAGAAATTGTTAATAGTTTAAAAACTATACAGCAAAATTTCACCCTATTTATGAACAAAAGAACATTACAGCTTTCTTTTTTTTTCTTTTAGTGTCCCAGCAAAACATATGATCCCAGAATCAAGACCACCAAAGACTTTCCAGATGAGGTGATCAGTTTCATTCGACTCCATCCTCTGATGCACCGCTCAGTTTACCCTTTGACTGGGCGGCCGGTCTTCACACGTGTCCGAGTGGATTACTCCTTGACTAACATTGTGGTGGACAGGGTTTTGGCAGATGATGGGCAATATGAGGTCATGTTCTTGGGAACAGGTAAGACACTTTTCTTTTTAGAAACACCAGAGGGCAGAGTAATTCTCTACCACAGATTTCGGTGCAGCAACAACTACTGAATTGCACAATTGCACATGTATGTTACTGACAGAAAACATATGTTGTTGTTTGAGATTCATTGATGTTAAACTATCAACTATTTTTACTGAGTATAAAAAAGATCCTTCACACAAGTCTGTTTTACATAATAGATATGGATAAATATTTTTGTTAAATGATTTGGTTGAATTGATCTTTTTTCACTTTGTTTCTATAGATGCTGGTTCAGTACTGAAGGTTGTGAGCATCACCCAAGAGAACTGGTCGACAGAGGAAGTAATTCTTGAGGAGCTTCAGGTCTTTCAAGTACGTCTGACAGCTTAATTATTGAAACAATACATTGCAGTATCCACTGCTGCAGACCTCTCATATATTCCTGTCTCTGTTAATAGTGAAGCTCATAAAACCACAAAAGGGTTGGCATGGCCTTGTAATTGAAATTTTGCAAGCAGGCAGATTTATTAATCTGTTTAACAACAACATCATATATTATTTGTATTAATGTCAAACCTGCCAGTGTTATATTAATGTAAAAATTTTATTTATTTTTCTTTTTTGTTTCTACAGGCGTCATCTCCTATCTTAACATTGGAGCTTTCGTCTAAAAAGGTCTCTTTTCCAGTTTGCTCTCAAAGTCTTACATTACATGTCCACAAAACGTCTCTGTTCTCTGGTTTAATTCACACCTCATGCTTTCAGTCTGTCTCATGATGCATGCCTGATATGTCACAAGACGTATTTTTATTTGCCCTTTGTTTATACATGCATTCAGGTTGACTCCCTGTGTTAGACAGTTCTCCTTCTGCAGCTCTTTCACTCTTCCGTCTCATTACTTTGGGGTCAGAAGTGTCAGCAGACACTTCAACCCCAATCACAATCTTTATTAATCGTGAGCACTGTTTGATCTCTTTGCACAGCTTGCCTACATTTTAGTGTTGTCGCACATCTCAGACCACTTCTTTTTATTTATTAAAAATATATGCTTTGAATAAATAGGATTTCTTATCACTAACAAACAGATAAATTGCTATTGGAGAGTGCTTTACTTTTTCTTAGTTACAAAGTAACTGTTTGGCAGCTGTCCAAATGCTTTTTAAATGCATGAATTCACATACAATTGAAAAAGTACTGTAAAAACAAAAATTAGACTTGAAAACTAAAATATTAGATCTACACACGAAATATATACAAAGGAAAACCACTGCGATGGAGAAATGCTGTTGTAACAGAAAATATAGAGATGGAAATTGAAAAAAACGCTACAAACACTTCATAATTATACTAACACAAAGAACACATGCAAAGGAAAAATGATGCTTGTAGCAAAAATAACTGAGTGTTAATAAAAGCTGAAAACAAGCTTTTCTCTCCCTTGTGCTATGAGGGCCAGACTCTAAATAAAGGCATACATGGAAATCTCAGGCAGATTGTGTTAAAAAATAAATAAAAATAAAGGGTTTCTTTTTCTTTTGCTCCTCCAAATGTCCTTTGTATTTTTGTATTTTCGATTCTATAAGTAATTCCTAGTGATGTCTATGGTCTTGTCCCATACAGTATGTCTTGAGGATTGTCTCCCCCTAGTGGCCTGGAGCACTTTCATAATGCAGAGATCTTGTTGGGATTTTCGTGAATTTTTTGAAAAACCCGCCCTCTCCACCTGAAATAAAATGCACATGCACAACCTTGTACCTGCTCTTGAGAGGGAACGCCTATTAAACATTTACGATAGCATGCACAAGCCTATTTCTCCTTGTGCACGCTCTGTTTAAAAGTTGCTATTTGAATTGCTCATACATGCTTACTTTCCAAAAGAAGATTTGCGATTGTTCCACTATGTCAGACTCACCACCGTTAAGTGAAACTGTGGATGAGCATGTAGAACGGTCTTACGTAAACATATCACGGAATGATTGACTATTAGAAGGACCACTTATTTTGACGACACAGCCGGAAAAGAACATGCTCCTCTATACCTTTAACTCACAGTTGTTTTTGCAACTTGCAGGATTTTCCATTTTCATGTCTTTTGTGGATTTGTATTAGCATCCTTTATGTATTTGCAGCGGGTTTTGTATTTTCAAGGTCTGTCCACTTTCCTGCTCACTAATTTCTGGGATTACATTGTTAATCATTTGCATGTGCTAGTCTAACTTTTGTGTTTTCCATTCTCATTTTTGTGTTTTGCATGACTTTTTGAACTTGCTTTACATTCATACATTTGCATGTCATACGTACCCCTTTGCCATTTCTTTTTTATCACATTTCTGTATGAATACATTAAAATTCCCAGCTGGTAGTGATTTTTTTTATTTTTTATGACAGGGTTAAGATTTGGACTTATTTTAGAAGCTGCATATTTTTATGTTTTGTGTAACAAAACGAGTTTGAATAGGTCTTTTAGGCAGTTATTTTAATGAAGAGTCCAAATATCTACAATTGTCATCTGACTAAATTTTCTGTCATAAGAAAAAAACTGATTAGTTTCACTGTTTTGTAACAACCCAGAACAAAAAACAAAAAAAAAGTCATAAATCATAAAATCATAAACTGGAAAATACTAAATACCAGTATCCTTGTTAAAAGTAAGCTGAGTTTACCTCTGCTGACATTAGAGTGATTCCCAGCTCCTAAATCAACTCCATCAAACATTACAAAATGCTTTACATGTACAGAAAATAATTACATTCTGTCTGTCTGTCTGTCTGTCTGTCTGTCTGTCTGTCTGTCTGTCTGTCTGTCTGTCTGTCTGTCTGTCTGTTTGTCTATCTATAGCTCTGAAATCTATTAAATATGAAAAGATCTATGCTAAGATCTAAGATCTTTAAATGTTATGCTAACACAAATCAGATCTTGTTGTTTTTTTTTCTTTTACAAGTATGTATAACATTTTCTGTTGTCATAAAACCAGAAAGACAACAATAATAAAAAAAAAAAATGGAAACCTCAAATTAATCTTACGTTTTAAGATAAGTGACCTTAAGTTCAGTGTGTTGTTCTTGACACAAATTAAAATAATGCTTTTGATTTTAGCAACAACTTTATGTGGGCTCCAGAGAAGGGCTTGCTCAAGTTTCCCTCAGCAGATGTCACCTGTATGGCCAGGCTTGTGCTGAATGCTGTCTTGCACGAGACCCCTATTGTGCATGGGATGGGCACTCATGCTCACGATACGTTCCGGCATCTAAGAGGTAAGAAAAATAGGAAATTATTTGCAGCTGTGGAGCCCTTTTATCTTTGGGCTTTAGAGTCCTCAAGAAAATAATTATTTACATTATTAAACATCTTAAACGGAAGACAGCAAGTATTAACAAGCAAAAAAAAAAAAAAAAAAAATTAAATTTATTTTAACCATCTACATTATCTTTAAATTTATGCTTTATACCATATTTTTAGAAATGTACAGGCACATAAGACAAAAACTAAAAATAAACTTATTTGCATCACACATGATGTCCTACTGCATAATATAATACAAATTTGATAAAATGATTTGATTAAAATATGCTATAGTTTGGCTTTTGTTGAGGTAGGTGTTATCACACACATTCACTCAGCATCACTAGATTTAAACAAGCTGTGTGTGTTGTTTTTGTCTGTTTATGTTCTTTGTCTTTTCATGCATGTGTCTAAGATCTACAGAAACACTACCCAACAGTTATGGGTCACTCTGCCATATTATTAGACAGCAGGGATGTTGTTTTTGTTTGGGAACTAGCGGAGGCCTTGCTTTGTTGGTCTCCGGTCCTCTTTGAAAGGAGATCTACAGTGATTATGTGTAACAGATGTCCCAAGGGGAAGTGAAGGAAGAAATCAATACAATCTAAAGATCCCAAGTGACACTGCACAAGAGGGGGATATTAAAGTTTGTGTCCTTTCTATCTTTCAGAATTAGAGTGAAATTGTTTGACAATAAAAGTAGACAAAATCAAATATGCTTAAACTAAGATATAGAATAAATTATATCAAATGGGGAAACTGCACTTAGTAATTCTTTAATGCTAGTGAGCCATTAGAAATGCTCATACTCGTCATCTTCCACAGTCTCAGCAGAGACTCCCAGACTTCCCTCTCTGCAGACACCTCCTGCAGCTCTTCTGTGGAAAGCCTGAGGCCCTCCCAGGTCAGAGACACAGTCCCTCCAACGTGGGGGGTAGTCCCGTGGTCTTCCTACCAGTTTAACATGTCAGGAATATTTCCTGAAGAAGGCGTCCAGGGGGCATCTGAAAAAGATATCCAAGCCACCTCAGCTGACTCCACTTGATGTGGAGGAGAAATGTCTCTACTCCACGCCTCTCATAATTGACTGTTCTCTGCACCCTATCTGTAATGGAGTGTCCTGCCACCCTGTGGAGAAAGCTAATTTCTGCCACTTGTACCCAGGATCTCGTTCTTTCAGTCATGATCAAGAATTCATGATGATAGGCGAGGGTAGGAACTATATGGCTGAGACGATTAATTGGATTAATCGTGATTAATCGATTTCTGAAATAATCATCAACTAATTCAGTAATCGTTAAATCGTTAAATGGGGTATAAGCATGCCTTTAGCTTACAGAGCAATTATGAAACGCTGGGTTTCAGTGGTGGGTGTCCGTTCCTTCCAATCATGTACCTGGAATTGTCACTATCGTTTCCCACATGGGCGTTGAAGTCCCCAAGCAGAATGATGACATCTTTGGGAGGGGCTCTATCCAACAGCCCCCACTCAGGGACGCTAAGTAGGCCTTGTAATCGATATTGTAGTTTAGCCCATAGGTCAAAACAACAGTCAGAAACGTCCGCCCCCTAACTGAAGATTAAGGGATGCGTCCCTCTTGTTTACCTAGATAAACTCCAACACAGGATGGCTAAGCTGGTGGAAGACCACTGATCTCTATTTATGGATTGCTGATTGCCTGAAAAAAGTAAAGCCACCGTCCGCCATGCTTATACTCCCCACTCCCATGGAGACGCGCAATGTGTAGCAGTGTGTATGCCTATGTGTATATCATTTAGCTGCAAAAACAAGCCGTTTACTGCCTGTGGGAAGTCATTTGACAGGTAATTTTACTGTCAGTGAATGTTCTAACATAGAAAATCCACATATATGCCGATGTATCCTATAGTATAGTATGTAGTGTAACATTAGTCTGACTATCTCGGACTGACTCAAAGACATTGACTGAGTTATCCATTGACATTGTGTCTAATGTTAGAAAATAGAAAGTAATTCACATGAAATGTCAACATACTCATCCACATGAAGTGGATGATGCCATTGTTCCTGTAGTGTTTGTTGTATTTCTCATTTGAAAAATGTATGTGCTGAAAAATAAATATATTGGATGTTATTTGGAGGAGAAAAAAAACAACTCAAACATTTGACAGATATTTAAATATATATGGGTAAAATGCATGTAGTTTTTTCATATTATCAGATGTAATTACCAATTAACAACACTTTTGGCACATCTGTATTATTATGCTTCATTAACACATTCATTTTCTAGTGATGGGTTTGTATAATATGTTATATTAGATGATTTAGAAACTTTCCTTGACTTCATAATGACTATGCAATGTGAAGTGCCTATTTTTTTATTATAAGTTAAAGCAATTTACTTATGCAATGAAACAGCAAGTGTGTGTCCAAGTGATGAATTTATCTTTATTTTAAAGGTCTTAAGTCCCCCTGAAAATGAAAACATCATTGCTGTTAGAATCGCACATAACTAGGGAGTACCAATATGGCGGCCGGTGGCTTCACTTTAACCCCGTACTACAGTACCAATTGGCAATGAGCAATCTAGTGAATAAATAGAGATCAGTGGGGAAGACAAGCAGATCCACTCCTGCCCTACGTCTCTACCCGCAGGCCACTTTAAAGTAGAAGAGAGTTAAGCCTCCCTCAACGAGCTTGGTTCCAGAGCCCAGGCTATATGTTGAGGTGAGCTCGACTATTTTTAGCCGGTACCGCTCTAGCTCCTGCACAAGCTCAGGCTTCATCCCTGCTAGTGAGGCGACATTCCATGTCCCCAGAACCAGTTTAAGTATTCAAAGATCAGGTCGTCGAGGCATCCACCTCTGACTGCTGCCCAATCCTTTTTGCACTGGTCCCTCATGGTTCCCTTCTGCAGGTGATTGACCCACTGGGGGATGGCCTTGCCTCACTTCTTCAGGCTGGTCCTGGCTGGGTCCCCATTAGAAATAAGGATTCTAATTGTCATTACATTTTATTTAAGTTCCATACATTTATATTTGTGTTGGAAATGTTTTCAAAGCCAGGAAACAGTATTTCATAAAGTTAGATAAAGCCATATTACAAACTTTGACAACTTTACTGTCCTCCATTTGCAGTACAGTAATTGATGAAGGTGCATTTCCACTTTAGGGACTTTATGCTTTTGTCAGTGCAGTTCTATGGGGCAGTTCTTTGCAGTATCAGCCACTGTTTTTAATGCATTTTGTTGTGAAACAAAAGTCAAAATTTGTCCCAGTAAATGTCCTTGGTTTAAAGGAAGCAGATTTGAAATGACTGCCATAGTTCTTGTGTTTTTTTTCCATTACTGTATATTGAGTTAATAACTATAAGAGCTTATAAATAATGCCTTTCTACAAATCTGCCCAATGTTCTAAGTGAGACTTAATTATATATTTCAACACACCCTACAACACAAGAAGAGGGAAAACTGTTTTGTAGATGAATGGCAAATGCTAGTTGAATATTGTTTTGCATTCATTTTAAACGGTTTCTTTGCAGACGTTCTAGAAGACAGGACATCAAAAATGGAGATCCTGCCATTCAGTGCTGGGACTATGACGACAGTATGTAGACCTTATGCTGCTTAGTGACATGTGCTAGATATACGTTTATGTTTTCTGTATTTTTTCTTTTTTTCAGATCATGGTGGGGGCAAAGTGGAGGAGAAAGTTCTTTTTGGAGTTCAGAACAACTCCACCTTTCTTGAATGTATCCCAAAGTCGCAACAGGCCAAAATCCGATGGTATAAGCAAAATTTGGGATCTGAACACAGGGAGGAGGTCAGTGTACCTTCTCATCCATATTTTTACACAATTAAGCCTAGTACTCATGTATAAACAGTTTTAAATGTGCTCAACTTACTATTCTATATTCAAGCTCTCCAAAATTTGTCTTTGTTTTGGTTTAATATACCTTTGGGTTTTTTCTTATTTTTCTTCTGGATTAGTAAGTATGATAATTATTGACTCAATTGTTTTAATATAATATTATTAATTATAATTATTAGTGTTAAAATATTCATATATATTTTTCATGACCTTGAGTCTAATTAGCTCTGAAATCATGGTAAGAACTGTTTCATATCTTGTTTATGGCCAACTATTATTGGTGTTTATTCATTTCTATATTGTTTCAACTTCTTCTATCCTTGTGAGGTAAGACCTGACTTGATATCCAGCCAAAGAAATAAAAGAACAGCATTAAGCACTACAAAATGTTTTTTAGGGAGTGAATTTGAATTGACATTTAACTCTCACTACTTATAACGTCAGTGATCTTTCCCTTGCAGAATAGAAAGTAATTATTAATAATGTCCTAATTAAACTAATTAGGAAACAGCAAAAAAAAAAAAAGAAAAAAAGAAAGCTTTGAAAAAACAATGACAAAAAAATGAAATCTTTTTCTTGGTAAAAAACAAAGGTTTTTAAGTACACAACACGAGATGTTTTGTTCAGAGAAAAAATGTATAGCATGTTTTTAAGAAAAAAAAACTGTTTGGTGTTTTCTATATAATCTAGCTGTAGTGTAGCAAGATATATAGAAAAACTTAAGCATAATTAACATATTTTATTCATAAGTATACTTTACATGAAAGCCATTGCTTCTCAGGATTTTTTTTTTTCATAAGTCTGGATCATGGCAATACAACTGTGGAACATCAAGAAAAAATCTACTGGAACGACTGCAGATGTGGAAAACATAAGAAGTTTGAAATCCATCTTTCAAGATATTTTAACATCTAAGTTTTTGTCAAAGGCTTTCAGCTTTTAATGTAAACCTAACAGCTGTTTCTTAACCATTGCAATATTTCAAAACGTGTGGTGATAAAGCACTTAAGACAGAGATGCATTGAAACAGGTGATTTAAAGCATAGAAATAAATGATAGTTTTCCCTTTATAAAACAAGTGAAATGTGCTTATTAAGCCCTTATTTCTTCTCTCCAAACATTCAAAACATTTTGCTGCTGAACACCTCCTGAGTAGACCCACACTGTCTTCATCAGTGTCCACAGTTCTCTCTTTTCTGATTTACCCCATCAGCTGTCTGCTTCCCAGGAGCGAGTCTAAGTGCTGACAGGTGCAAAGAACACTAAAGATTCATGTGTTGCTTTGCAGACAGACTCAGACGTAGGAAAGCACTTTGTTTTTTGGTCTTTATTTGTTTTTTTGTGGTTCTATGTTTATCTTTGCACCTCCCATAGCGGAAACCATAACAGAGCACTCCCTATGGACAGCCATGTGTTTTGAGGTAATAAACACAATGGGGTGTTTAGATTGTTTGTGTGTCTAGGCATGCAATGATATGTGACCCACTGCTCTATAGACAGAGTGATGACATATATGTAGGGATTTCTTATTCTTTAGGTTTACCTTGTTCAGGAAAGAAATGCAACAAAAATGAAATACATAATATTAGAAAATAATGGAGAATTTATTAGTCACTATATGCAACATCCAAGTATGTGGTTGTATTTATACAACATGCAGGTATACAACATGCAGTTATCTACTGTGATAGAAGTAGTCTTGATATTTAAAAATCTTTAGATTAAATGTATAGTAAACATTTAATGAGTGGATGTTTAATAACACATTATATAACACACTGACACATATCATACGAAAAAGAAACCTTTAAATTAAACAAAATCTAGATATACTGAATATGGCAATTTTTCCCTAAAGGTGATAATTTCACTAAATTTTTTAAAATTTAATATTATTGTATTTTTTATTTTTTGACAAAAGATAGATAGAGTTTGTACTCATAACATAGTTGTTTTGATTTAAAATATTAAACTGTATGCTGCTTCAAAACAAGAACATATGATATGGTATTATTTAAAGTGAATTTGTACAGGTACATCTTATAAATCTAGATATGATTAAAATGTGTATTTACTTCAGTAGTATAATCCATTATCAGTTCACCATAATCCTTACTATAATTAGCCAACTGTTCACAGAGGACTTTATGCAAAAAGTACGGTAGTAGGAAGTAGGAAATTTACAAAAGGAAGACAAAGATCCTAGAAAGGTTTGAAACTCATTTTAGAGTCTGGGGAAATTTGTAATGTGTGAACTAATACTGGAGTAAATATACAATAACTATTGATTTTATATAAAACATTTAAATTTCAGTCATAAAATATTTTTTTAGGATTGTATAAAAATATTGTCAAATATTTTTGTCAAAGTATGCAGAGAAAACTCCTAATGTAAATATAAAGATTATAGACATGGATATTAGAAAAAAATATTCAAATTAATTAGACTTTAGAGAACTAACACCAGTCTGTCATTTTAAATTTTCAAATGAAATAGTTTAACATGTACTGGTGGTGGTTTTGAATTTAAAAGTGAATATACATTGAGTGCCTTCAATGGGAATTGCATAAGGATATGCTAAATTGAATTTGATCGTATGTTTTTTTTATTTATTTTTTTTTAGTAATACAATTTTGCCTGTTTCCACTAAAATCTCTGTAGTTATAAGCATTCTTTGCTCATTGGATTGTTTTACCGTCCTGGCAAACCCGTTATGTGTGACTCATTTTGGTTTTGGTACTTTGTTTTCTTCTCCTTTTCATTTTGTCAGCGCAGATTCTCTCTGTGTTTTCCTGCTGTGTTTTGGGGTCTTAATAGAGGCCCCCTCCGCCAGCTGCACACTGCACCTGCATTATAATGTTCACTGTCCTCATGTCGTCCCTTGTTTTATCCCACCACTAAAAGTCAGCTATAAAAGATGATACCTGGAAGAAATGTATCTCTTCTTCTCACAACAATTTTGCATGTGTATGTATCCACAGTATCCCCATTGTGGGACAATAAAGGGGTTTTTCTATTTTTTCATCCCCTGGAGCCTGTAATAGCTTACTATTGGAAAATAACTAATAAGAAAACTATGAATGATGAATAATTTCATGCTGTGTCCTCATTAGATAGAAGCCTGCCCCTCCTTAAACCATGTGAAATATATTTGATATGTTTGCATAACAGAAAAAAAGAACAAAAAAGCACATGCATAGAGAATGCCTTTAAATGTAGAATTCTAACCTCATCTATTATTTTGGAGTTGCATGGTTTCCAAATCAACCACCAAAATGCAAACATAAAAGCACACATGGAAAACACATAAAAACAGACCATCTGCATTAGTTTATGTATCCTGTGACGTTTAAAAACAGGTTCTTTTATTTTGAATAATCAAGGAGTGGCGTTAAAGACCCGTAAATGAACAAATATGTACAAGTTAAAATGTATAAACAGTGACAGAGAAGGTTGTTTGTTTGTAGGTTTAAAGAAAAAAAAAAATCCTGTTTGCTAAATCGTTGTCATGTATTACTAAATAACAGTGTGATGGAAATAACTAGAGTAACAACAGCATCTGCATCTGATCCTGAAACTCACATTGGTTTCAGATATTCAGGACACCATGTGTTGAAACAAGATCACTTACATTGAGCTTTGTAAAGTATTTAGTCCCTTTTATCTTCAATGCATTTATTGTGAGTTAACCAACATACTAACATAATGGGTACTTCACATGTATATTGTGAAATAAAAGGGAAAATATTACATTGGCCTTTAATATCATATCTGTTGATGTCAATGGCTATTGTGCAGGAACATAAAAAATATTAAAAACTTCAACAGGTATTTACACTTAAGCAAGGCACTGTAAACACACATTTTTACAAGGAAAATCGAGTCTGACAAACACCTTCTACAATTCTTAGCTAAATCAAGCAAGTTAAACCTACAAGGGTCATAGCAGGGCTGTGGGAGGTTTACTTAAGGAAGCCTGAAAAACACAACATGCTCCACACACACACAAACACTATCTTACGCTTCCTCATTAGTCATCCTAGCACAGCTTTGTTTTTTTAGATGTAGAGAGGAGCAATGCTATCCGATGAATCAGTTTGGAGGCCAAAGAAAAGAGGACTATAAACATTAACATGCTTTCTTAACACCTTAAAGAAAAACATGTATGCTTCCCAGCAAAAGAGAATGCTCATTATGAGCTCAATGAGCTCTCGAAACCATAAAGATTGGTTGGGTTTTCATGAACTGTATGCCAAAATCATCCATATTAAGACAATAAAAGACCAGAAATATTTCCGTTAGTGTGCCATGAATCTAAAATATATGAATGTTAAAGTTTTATCATTCCATTATCCAATCCAATCCAATCCAATCCACTTTATTTATATAGCACGGTTTAAATAAACACAAGGTTTCCAAAGTGCTGCACAACAAGATAAAATAACTAAAATAAATAAAAGTAATAAAATAAAATAAAATAAAAGCACTGCCCGGACAGGATAAAAATATGCATGTGTATACATAAAATCAACATGTGTACATATGGAAAATAATGCACTTTATCACAATATGCTTAAATTTTGAGAAGGACCTGAACTTATAGTATAAAGTACTCTTACAAGGGGACCTTTCCATTTACATAAAACTTAGTAAGCTAGCTACCATCTGCAAATTTTTGTGTTTTTTGTGTGTGTGATTGCAAAAGGATTCTTGAGAAAAAGTTTTTTGTTTTTTTTCTTAACTAAAGCAGAGGTAATTGTTTTCTCCTAAGTCTTTAAGTTTCAAAGATGTTTTTTTTTTTTTTTTTTGCCTCTTAGGTCAGACTTGATGATCGTGTTGTCTCCACAGACAGAGGACTCTTGATTCGCTCCCTTCATGCCTCTGATGTTGGTATATACTTCTGTGTGGCTCAGGAGAACACACACTTCACCTACACTCTCCTACAGCTCACCCTGCAGCTTCTTACACATGGATACCGTGACAGAAAACCAAAGCTTGGGGAAGATGCAATTGTAGAGCAGCAGCATGGTGCCGAGGCACGTCAGCGGTACAAAGACTATATGAGAGTAATGAGCACTCCCTTCCACTCTTTAGAAGAGTACTGTGATTCACTTTGGCTTGATAAGAGGGCATCTAGGATGAGAGGCAAAGGTTTAGGACATGGTAAATGGAAACACATGCAAGACTTAAGGAAGAGCAGAAATAGGAGGCACCATAGGGACAGAGAGGAAGGCACAGAGAGAAAGAGTCAAGTCAGGGTGATAAGGGCAGCATGAAGATGAAAAAGAAGGTCATAAATATTTACATAATAATAAACTTTGTACATATTAGTTTTGTACAAGTATGAAACTGATAACGCATAACTTGAAATGATTATCCCAAGGTTTTGACAGCATTATGCCACTGATATATAAAAAATAAAATAATAAAATGCTTTCTTTTTTCAGTAAATTCACAACTATGAATAATTTGTAAGGGGAAAGTCAGCAGCTACTGATTATAATTATGTTACATATGGCCACCAATTTCAAGAGCTAAAATAAATTAGAAAAATTGAATTAAATTGGTGGCCATATCTAACATAATTATAATCAGTAGCTGTTATTTTTCCAAATTTAAGTTAGTAGGCTTGCAAAATTAATTATACATTTTTCACAACATGTGATAGTTTCAATATTGTTTGGTTTAAAACAAGTGATAGAAAAGTAAAGTGAAAAAAAAATGTCAGCATTGAATAAATGTTACATGAGTGTAAATATTTATGTTGCATGTACAGTAATTACAGCTTTATGCTTTTTCTACATCACTTTTTTTGTGTCTAAAGTGTTATGATGTTATGTTTGGCTGATAAAATTTCATATTTTTTCTACAATTTATCTAGGTTTTGTAGATTAAAAAATATATATGTTTTTCTGTTCCTGAAGGTTATTTGACTACAACTTCATATGTTTTTTACTGCCATTTACCTTTTTATTACATAGTGATATGAAATAAAACACAGCCATTGCTGAATTTGCAACACAAAGAAAGGTTATTGATAAATCAGTGGCGGAGCTAGACCTGTATTGCTTGGGGAATCAGAAGGGGTGCAAGGTTATCTTAAGGAGGGGTCTATAGACTATAAGAGTGATCTTTTTTTTTGTTGCAATTTTAGCTTCTAAACATTTAGTATATTTACATATTATGCACATACAAAGTGAAATCTGTATATGTAATTAGCAGCTTACCTTGAAACCATATTGGTTTTACTCCTTTGTATCTCGTCTTTGCGGGTCTTTTCTTCTTCATCCCCTTTGTGGTTCATGATGGGTTAGTACTTTGAGTGTTTGTACATATATAAAGCCTACTATAGAATAAAATGATTTTACTCAATTTTGCCTTTTTAAATAATAAGCAATTATTTGTATGTTTGCTCTAACCTGTTTATTAGCAATATGACTATTGTTAATCTTTCTCTATCTCAAAAATTCTCTTTCAAGCTCATATTTCAGACCCTTTGTTATAATGTGCTATTGTTTTATCCTCCCGACAATATTCACAATTCCGTCCTGTCCGTTTATATTTAAAATGTGTATAACATAGCCTTATTTGTCCAATCTGTCCTGTAATTCATCTCTCATTGTTTGTGCTACTTCTTACATTTACATATCTCCAGCTGTATCTGTGATCCTGTAAAATCTTCTTAATTTTCTTCCCATTTTATCTTTTCTGACTTTTCTCTTCATTTTATTATTGATGCTAGTTCTTCCTTCCAATTTACTGTATGTCCAAAGTACTGTAAATTTTTAACATAGTTGGAATGATTGCAACACTATGTGTTACATAGAGCAACTACTTTAGAGGAGTGCCTTGGGTCTGTGACATGTCAACCATCTTTGGGGGCTAATCAGATTAACGGGGCTTTGAGTGCCTCTACCCCTTTAGCTCTACCCCTGTGGGGAGTTCAGAAGAGCCCCCCTCATTTAGCAGCTAGCAAATCCAGGTGTGCTCTTCAGATGTCACAATAATACATGATCTGATAGTTTGTTATTCAGTGTGAGTGAAGGTAATCACAAACAGGCTTTTTCAAGATTAGCCATGAGAAATAAAACATCTCTTTTCTGAAATACATTAAAAAATGTGTTTTGGGGAGATCAGTTGAGAAAACAGTTGGAAAAGTTTTTAAAGTAACAGGCATTATATAACCAAATGCACCTAGCTGATTAAAATTTTAGGATTACATAATACAGATTGGAACTGACAGCAATCAAGCATTTTTACATAATATATATTTAATGCCAAAGATTTATTTTTCTATACAACTTATAAGTAGAGTAGCAAGATAGATCATGATTACATACAGTTTAATTACAATTGTTTAATTTTCTTCACATCAAAACCAAAGTTTTTTTGCACTTTCTTGACTTTGTTTTGTTTATCTACCGTAAAATTACATGCTTGTTATAACAGATATAATAAATATTTTAGGGACTTCCTCCTTGCTTATAGTTTATTTATTAGTCAGCTACAGAGAGCAAACTACTCTCCATTTTCCAGAAAGGAAAACCACAAAGGGACACTAGAATAGCACCATAACAAGCTTTAAAAAATATTTCCCTACTGCACATCAAATATGTTCTGCTCTCATTTCTAGCTTAGTTTAGTATGATTTTGATGTTTTCTTTATGTGTAAGCAAAACACTGGCAAAAAGATTTGTGCTGCCTTTGGAAAGTAGTAATTATTTCAGCAGGTTAAAAGAAATCATGGAGAAATAATACAGCTATTTAGAAAATCAACAGTTATAATGAGTTATCAGTGTTTATAGAATAGAATAGAAATATCTAGGATGTCTGTATTGTTGCTGTGACCAGACCCCACTCTTTTAAAGCGAAAGGGATAATATGTTAAACCAGATCACTGTAAAACAAACTGTAACTACTGCAACTGTGGCAAGAAATATGCTATTTAATCTAATAACTTCTGAACCTTTATATACTGTTCTGTGAACACAGGTCTGGCTGTGGTCGGATAAAAGATGAAAGTGAATCAATACAGTAATAGTAACTCTGCATACATATGCCATCAACCAAAAACAACTTCAACATTCAAACTATATTTAATTTACAAAAATCATTCAACTTCAAGTCAAACATATTTTAGGCAAAAACTCTTTGACAAAACTTGTGAAACTCAATGAAATTCATCTTCTAAGGACACTGGTATATTAAAAAGGAAGGTAAAAAGGGTAAATATAACATTATTTTTAAAAATAATATCTCATTAAATGATTTGAGGAAATTAGTAACCTTACTAATAATTCATTCTTAACCTTCTGTGATCGTTCTTGAGGGATAATTTGAGGTAAAGAGACATAGATTTATTTATCCATGTTATACTTATGATGACATTGGAGCTTGTAAGTAGTAGACACAATGCTCAAGCAATATTTCCAGAATAAAATGTACCGGTATGTAATAAGCACAGGAGGAAACACAAAAACGTTTTTGTTGTCTTCAAATAAAGTTTGTTTTAGCTTTATAATAGTTTAAAAGTCAGTTTAAAAAGTCAGAAAAATGTACCATATAGTCATCAATAGTTTCTTGCTAGCTTGCACAACAATAAACACATCAAATGTGAAAAAAAACACCAATTGTTTGACTTTTAATGCTTTCCTTACTTTGCCTGTCCGATAACCTTTATTGATCTCTATTTTGGAAACCACAAAATGACTCCATCACACAGGACTTCAATAAAAGTTTACAGAGGATGGCTGGAAATTAAGATAATCAACTGGATGTGAATGTGGAAGTAAATGCTGGTTATGGAAATGTTAGGACCCTGCCAGGACCTACCTTACCTGTGTTTCAAAACCCAAAGGTAACCCCATCAGTGGATTTAAACAGCAACTCATAACCAGTGGAACGGAGAAAAAAGGTGTTGATTCTTCAATGACAAATAAATTGACTGGTAGCCCTCTCTGGGAAAAAAACTTGGAGTGAAGCTAAAGAACAAGCAATCTAACCCAAATCTGAAAAAAAAAGACCACATTTAGATAACAAAATAGATCATTAATTGATCATTGAATTAAAGTTTATGAATCTCACTTTGGAGAAATTTACTTCTGCATTTAATGCTATGCAGGGTCATTAAAGAGACCCAGAGTGTCAGTCTGTGGGTGTGGGGCTCAAACTCAGAACCTCAGGATTCCAAGCTCTATGCCCTAACAACTAGGCCGCCACTCCCAAAATCATTCTATTGAATAAAAAGACTAGCTTTATTTGGAGTTGATCACAGTTATTAGTGTTTGAAATTATTTCTGAAATAATTTCAAAGTGCAACACTAAATAATAATGACATGCATATGAGATTTAGCTAATCATCATAGGAAATGAGGATGTGGTGACTAAACCAGAAAGTCCAGGAAAAGTATTTAAAAGGGCCTTGTGGAAAACACTTAGCTGTGTGTTAAAGGTTGTGATCTAACATGTGAGTTTACATCATATTACTATGCTTTACTAAGGTGTGTATCTTGATCTACTGCTTAGTGTAGGCTTGCCAATTCACAGATTAAGATATCAAAAACACTTGAGAGGAAGATCAGAGCCAAAGGGGAAGAAAAAGAGCGGAATTGAGATTTTAAATAACACAGTCATTTCTATGCTTTTATTAAAGGGTTTTCACAGCTATGCAGGTGTTTGATTTTCAGGTGATGACAGTGAACTTTGGACAAAATACGTGGAGGCAAGCAAGTCTGTTTGGCTGTCAGGTATTAATGATTGCCTGAGGCATTTTAGAACAGGAGGTATGTGTGCATGCACTAGAAACAGTTGTTCCCTTAGTGTAATGACTACCTGTACTCCCCCCTGCCTAATTAATGGACATGAGTAATCTGTCAACACACAAGGATTTGTGGCAGGGGAGGGAGGATACAGTGAGTGACCTGAAGAAGGCATTTGATGTTGTATAGTATATGTGGAGAGTAGTTTTAGAAATCTGCAGAAATGTATATAATGCCTCCCTGACCCAATGTACTCTTGTGTATGGGTTTACACAGACTTATGTAGTTGGTCTGGATCGTTTTTAATAGGCACATTCAATGTTCCAATGAGTTGTTTACATAACACTCCTTCAGGTTATACTAGAAGTAAAGAAATGTGAAAGGAATAGTTTTTTTCTTCTCTTGAGGATTTTTAATGTTCAAATACATGACTATCCCCTAGCTTTGTGGCACTTTATAGTTGTCTGCTTGGCCGGTGGTTCTTCTTTCAGTTTAATTTTTCTCTCCTGGGATTTTATAGAATTCCTCTTTTATGCAATGTTAAAATAGAATCCACAGAAAGCTTAGAGGAGACTGTTAGAATTAAGAATACCATTAATTTGCTTTTCTCTTTTTCCATGCCCAGCACAAAAACATTTCTGCAAAGGTAAAACATATCTTTAACCAATAATCAACATACTGTAAGGATGATGATGTACCATTTGGGATTTCTACCGTAAGGATTTTTATGTCTCAGACCAATCCAAGTAATTTAAGAAGAGGCATCTGC